CGGTATAATCTTTTGGGGCCACAATGTTGCGTATCGCGGACCGCCTGGCGTACGCGTCTAGTTCACGAGCCCGTATCGGTGTTTCAGTCAATCCTTTCCGACCGGAGAAAATTGTTTTGTTAAACCCGCGGGCCGGGAATTTCGCGGGCGTGCACCGCTCCCCTAAATTATTTTCGGAACGGAAGTGTTATTCTCGCGGGCTCGCGATTGCGCGGGCAACGGTCGATCGCCCATTAAGATATAACGCACGAATTTCGCATGTATAATTTATGCGATGTTTATCGCGCTTACGTGGACAATTATTTCAAGCACCGAACAACGCGTTAACGGAAACGAAACGAATTCGCGCGTCGTCCGTGGTCTTCGAAACGTATTTACGCCCGCTCGAAAGCCGCGCGGAAGATAATTCATCGATTTGCCAGTGTCCTCTTTCCCTCTATTAACCCGTCGTGCATTTTAACCCTTCGGCTACGACAGAATTCTGCGTCAGCAATGTTCCTAAGAAAGTCTATTGAAACCATAACCAACCAAAATAATCACATTTATATGATTAACGGAAGATACGATCGTTGAATCAGAATTCACGTCCGATCTAAGCGAGCTTTGCTGCAATTATTGTCAATAACATTTTACGAGCGCCTATAGGCGCTAACAGTACACCGATATTTTCAAATCGTCTTTAGGCAACAGTAGCCAAGCGGTTAAACGAGCGGTCGCCTCGGCTCCGCAATTTTTCACCGGGAAACCGTTTAAACGTGCTTTTCCTTTCGAGTTGCCCCACACGAAAGATCTCGAAACCATCGGAGACGGATATCTACGAGATCGAGATACAAGGTTGTCTAACGCGTTGACTGCCACGGTGGTCGGTGACCGGCGAAAATAATTACGATAAGATCGATGTCGAATAACTGTATTCACCAACGTGATGCTAAATCAGCAATGATTATTTCCAGCGTTATTTATCCGTGATCTTGAAAGAATACGTCATAACGGAAATCGTTCGAGATTCTTATAGCGATTGACGCGTTGAAGACGAATAATAACTTCAACGAGGACGCGATTGAACGATGATGAGTGAAAAGGTGAAGTCGAGAATTCGTGTGGCTAACGAGATAACCCGAAGAACATCGGTGGAAGGAGGTAATTGTCGGCACGGTTGACGACGAAAGAGTATAAAATTACTTTACACGGTAACGATAATTTCAAAGCAAGTACAGGTTCGGCGATATTACAGGATCTCCAGGGCGGCATCGCGTATGGTACATCTTAACGATCAAATAATTGCTCGGGTCCCTTCGCATTCGAATCGAGTCCGTCATTAAGCGCAGCGTGATTCGTTACACCGGGATTCGATACGCGAGCCGGATCCGCGCCCTCGGTTGACGAGCACTGGCCCCCGGTCCGTCTGTCCGCTCGCTTTCACGTTATTATTACCGTGTAACAGTATAACGACGCGAGGAAAGCGTCCCGTTCGCGTCGATTAGCTCGCCGGGGGATACGATAATTAACGGGTTCTTGCGCGGAACAAGACATTAGCCTATTTCGCGGCGAACTTCGAGCGGTATTCGAACGTCGCGCGCGAAACAATTTCTCGCGCTTCCGTTGCGTCCGTCCGGCGAGCCGAAGATTTATGGAAGCTCCGCAAGACGGAATAAACTCCGGGAAGCGCTTTAACTTCGTAAGAAACTTCTCGCCGGAGCGTCCGTGCTTCGGAGGCTGACGCTAAAAGTGCCGAGCAATTACGGCGACTCACTTAGAGCGGCTTGTAAAAATTGGTATTCGAAGAATTCCCTATCGTAAACCTTGCGAGCGCAATTACAGTGACTCGTCCGGAATTATGAAAATCGAGGGACTTCGCTTGCGATTCAGTGGATTCTACTTATCGCTGTAATCGTGCAAATGCTCGAAGTTATTTTAACCCTTTGCGGACGAAGATTCTTTGAAACGTACGAAACCTTCGGCGGACGAAGTGAAATTATATATCGATCGTTTAATTAACAGGAAAGCAGGAAACCACGTGCTGATCTCTTGCTGCTTCGCTAATTAAATCATTTGTTCGCCACTTAGTCTTCCAAACATGAACATCCGATCTCGCCGGAGCGTCGACGTTCGTCCGCAAAGGGTTAAAATTCCCCGGGAACGCGTCCTCGTGATTTCCACGATCGTACAGTGAAAATTTCGGAACGGCTGATTTTGACTCCGGCGGTTGCAGTTGATATTCGGTGGTTTCGGTTGAAGAGTCTTTCCAGCGCATACCAGCGGACGAATTCGAGTTAATTCGTCTCGAAGCTGAACCATCGGGCATCATTTCCCTCCGATAATTCCGGCGTGCCGAACAATCCACGGTAATGTTTCCCCGGATGTGGCCTTGTCTCCCGCTCGTTACCCGCGCCGCGATAATCCCCGCCGTTTGTCTGGACGGTCGCGCGAAACGAAGCTCCCGATTATTTAAACTGACACCGGCGTGTTTATTCGTCGCGTGTTTCCTTTTGCGCGCCGCTATTGTTTCGTGCCCGCAAGGGATTTCGTCTCTGCGAATCGGCTGGCGGAAATTGTCCCTACAGGATCCAGGAGCTGCGGGTCATCCGCGCGCCCCTGCAATTAAGCTAATTTCGTTTATCGTAAACGGACACTTGGGAATTCATTCGGAGAATTTACGCGCGATCGTTTCGCGACGGCGATGAGAACGTCGAGGCGCTCGGGCGGACATTGTAAGCGGATTTATAAGCGGTTAAGGGTTTAACGTTTAATCGTAAAGACGGATATTAAGCGGAGCCCCGTCTACGATGTCTAGAGGGGCAGCGACGCTGCGCGTTGCTCGTTAAACATCGGGAACGATAATTATTGGGCGTGCTCGTCTTGTCACAAGCCATCCCTTTTCTCGGACCCAACTTTCCGAGCCGTGCAGAAGCACGACGAAGTAGCCCGTCGTCGGTGGTCTTTTCCTGTCCGACGAATCGCTTTACAGCTTCGCGGAATATCGCTTTAACCGAGATCGCGTACGGATATCGAGCGGAACATCGACTTTCCGCGAAGATTCTCGTTCGATCGGATTCCGCGGAACATGCCGAAGAAAGTAATAATTGTGTCGATGGGTGTCGTCGTTCGCGACGACCCGCTCTTCCACGAACGTTTCGCGTTCGTCGCGCTTGCGCGTACCATAAATAAACGAGCGTTCGAGATTCGTTTAAGACATCGTTAATAGAATGCCTGTGTCGAGAGTTAATTTGCGCTCGGCGCACTTGCGAGATGCTCGTATCGTTATTACTTCGAGGAGAGAGTCGTTCGTCTCGTTCGCGTGCGAGGGGGACGTTTTTAAATACGTTTAAGAGTCGTCGTCGTAATGACCGTGGAACAGTGGTTGATATACTCGACGCGAAATTAACGAAGGAAACGAGCGCGATTGCCTATCGAAAGAATCATCGGGATTGAAACCAGACTGGAAACTCCTTCTCGAATTAAAACCGCGCTACGCGAGTCGGAATATTGTACCTACCGGTTTCACGAGGGAAATAATTAATAATTGAAACGTCTACCGGTAACGAATCGATTACTTTCTCACCCTGAATGGCATGCTCGTTAACCCCTTGTCCGGCCGTACCGGGTCCCACGGTCCTTTGCGTAATTCCCGGGTAACGAGGCAATTTTGTCCTCTAATTACTAAATAAGCAAGCAACAGAGTGTCGAGAGACCCGACGGCAGGTGCTCCCGGCGAGATTAATCCGGCGCACGCTGCGATCGCTCGACCGTGCGCGAAGAATATCCGTAATTCCGTTGATTATTTTCGGATTGCCGATTAATCGCGGTGCGAGACGAACGGGCTCGGTCGACGGCGTTGACGGTCGGGCGCGCGACAAATCACGCGAACCCCGAGCAACTACCAGTTGCGTCCCAGTTGCCGTTTCGTCCGCTTCTTCCGCGATTCGACGCGACGAGCCTTTCGTCCCTCGTCCGTCCGACATGTCGGATAATCGTCAGCCGCGTTTCGGCCGATAACAATTGCATAATTATCGCGAACGCCGCTGGAAACGATGAAATCGCGTGATTCGCGAACCGGGAACCACACTCCGGCAGCCAGTCAGAATTATTAAAAGCGGAGATCACGGGGTCTGATGGGTGAGCAACGTAATTGCGGGAACTTCGTTACACGAAGAGGCCTCGGCCTGCGTAATGATTTAACGTTACCCGATGGTTTGAATAATTTAAATAACGGTCGGCATCCCCCCCTCCCCCGTCGGCCCAAGAGCCGATTATTTTGCTGATCCACATTTCGCGGAATATGATTAATATTACTTCGGCCGCATTATACGTTCCTAACAATGGCAATTAAGCTGGAGTGCTATTTAATTGGGTTCGCCGATAATTATGATTTACTCCCGGTAAAATTACGGTAAATGCGATTTACGGGACGCGTTTCGGCCCTGTATCAGACGAAACAATTCAATTCACTCGATGTATATACTCCGTCCGTCTATTGTATTATCGGTTACGCGATATATTCCCCGCAGAGGAGATCGCGAATTGGTCGATCTTTCGCTGCAATCCCGTCGATTTACGATGCGCGCTCGATTCTCGCGGATCGAAGTCTCTCGATCGGGTTCGGAGCGGTCAACGATGGGTCACCGAGGCTTCGAAGCGAGAAGTTCGTATCGCTTCGAGTAGCATTCGACAGGATACAAGTTTTCCCAATACTCGAAAGTCTTGAAGCAGAGGCAATGCCCCGGTACAATGTTTCGCCGTAGCGACGGGCCATCCGTGTCCGTGGAACTCGCGCGCAATCGTTGAAAGCGACCGAGATTCGGCTGGGATTCGAGGGTTTCGATAGTGGGATCGTCTAAAATTTCACCGAAAGCGACTCGAATTTTGATCGTCTCGAAAAAGTCGACTGGCTTCTGAACCGAGCTCGAAATGGCCGACGCCAGCCGATTCCAGCGACGGCCCTCCCGGGAATAGGACGCGGCAGAACGCGGCGGTTAAATTGGCGCGACCACGGTACGTACCCATGAATCGTCGCGTCCTGGTTGGCACGTGGTAGCGGTGACGGTGGCGCGATTCACTATCCCGAAACACCTGCGCGCACGTTCTCCGCACAAACGATCCCGAGGATGTAACACCGCGGAGGACAGACACGCCGAGGTGTTCCGCCTCTCCCCCGCTTCTAGCCGAGCGTTCCCGCGCGACGGATCGTCGGCTCGCGCCGGTTCATCATCGGAACGGTTCACTTTGCGCCGGAAGTAGCGAGATCTGGATCACACGACAACACGGGTCCGCAGGGACTCGTGGGGGAGGGCCCGACGCTCGGGTAGGGGCAACGCTTGGGACCACCGCGACCCTCCCGGATGGAGGGAGAGAGACAGAGAGAAAGAGAGAGAGAAAGAGAGAGAGAGAGATACCGCTAGAGAGCGAGAAACCGAGAGAGACGTGGTAGGGAGCGGCAACTCGGAAGCGGTGGAAGGAATCACGGAGCGATCGGTTCGTGAAAAAGGGAGGATCGGGGACGGAGATCCTTCGACGACGACGTGTCCCTCGCGACGCGGAGTGGTGGAGACGCGTTAGACGCGAATTGATAGAGAAGAGAGCGACGGGGAGGGGAACAGAAATGACGAAACATGGATGCCGGCCCGGCGGAGAAGTCGTGGGCACGATCGCCGTCACAACACTAGTGG